CCTTATGGAGTCCTGTGTGTAATTTCTCTTTGGGATTTGCTGGCTGTTGGGGTACCGGGCGGGACGGAAACACCAACAAGCCGGCCCCCGTCATGTTACAAAGGTCTAAGGTCAGTAAGAGGTTCCAATCAAGGAATTAGCCCTATAGGCAAGGGTTGGTATTAGAAACTAAAATCTCTACCAACGTAATCCATCATATAAATAAACTGAAGGAAAAAAAAACATATGATCATTTCATTAGATGCTGAAAAAGCATTTGACAAAATTCAACACCCCTTTATGATAAAGGTCTTGGAGAGATTAGGGATACAAGGTTCATTCCTAATATAATAAAAGCAATATACAGCAAACCGACAGCTAACATTAAATTAAATGGAGAGAATCTCAAAGCCATCCCACTAAAATCAGGAACAAGACAAGGCTGTCCACTCTCTCCATACCTCTTCAATATAGTGCTTGAAATTCTAGCAATAGCAGTAAGACAGTATAAAGAGATCAAGGGAATTCAAATTGGAAAGAAAGAAGTCAAACTTTTATTATTTGCAGATGATATGATAGTGTACATAAGCGACCCCAAAAAAATCTACCAGAGAACTCCTACAGCTGATCAACACCTTTAGTACTGTGGCAGGGTACAAGATCAACTCCAAAAAATCAGTGGCCCTCCTATACACATAGAACAAAAAAACAGAGAGGGAAATCAGAGAAACAACACCTTTCACGATACCCACAAATAGCATAAAGTATCTTGGGGTAATTCTAACCAAGGAAGTGAAAGATCTATTTGACAAGAACTTTAAGGTTTTGAAGAAAGAAATTGAAGAGGATACCAGAAAAGAAAGAATCTCCCATGCTCTTGGATTGGGAAGATCAACATAGTAAAAATGGCAATTCTATCAAAAGCAATCTATAGATTCAATACAATCCCCATCAAAATCCCAACAAAATTCTTCACAGACCTTGAGAGAACAATAATCAACTTAATATGACAAAACAAAAAACCCAGGATAGCCAAAACAATCCTATGCAATAAAAGTACTTCCAGAGGCATTACCATTCCTGACTTCAAACTCTATTACAAAGCTACAGTTATGAAAAAAGCTTGGTATTGGCACAAAAACAGAGATGTTGACCAATGGAATCGAATCAAAGACCCAGATATTAATCCACAAACCTATGAACATCTGATTTTCGACAAAGGAGCTAAAATTATACAATGGAAGAAAGAAAGCATCTTTAACAAATGGTGCTGGCATAACTGGATGTCAACCTGTAGAAGAATGAAAATAGATCCATATCTATCACCATGCACAAAACTCAAGTCCAAATGGATTAAAGACTTCAATATTAATCTGACCACATTGAACCTGATAGAAGAGAAAGTGGGAAGTAGTCTACAAGACATGGGCACAGGAGACCACTTCCTAAGTAGAACCCCAGTAACACAGACAATAAGAGAAACAATGAAAAAATGGTACCTCCTGAAACTGAGAAGGTTCTGTAAATCAAAGGACACTGTCATTAAGACAAAAAGGCAACCTACTGATTGGGAGAAGATATTCACCAACCCCTCATCAGACAAAGGTCTGATCTCCAAAATATACAAAGAACTCAAGAAACTAGACACTAAAACTCTAATTAACCCAATTAAAAAATGGGGTACTGAACTGAACAGAGAATTCTCAACAGAAGAACTTTGAATGGCCAAAAGACACATAAGGTCATGCTCAACCTTCTTAGCAATCAGGGAAATGCAAACAAAAACAACTTTCAGATATCATCTTACACCTGTCAAAATAGCTAAAATCAAAAACACCAATGATAGCCTATGCTGGAGAGAATGTGGAGTAAGGGGAACACTCATTCATTGTTAGTGGGAATGCCAACTTGTGCAGCCACTTTGGAAACCAGTGTGGCGGTTTCTCAGGAAACTGGGAGTCAACCTCCCTCAGGACCCGACAATTCCACTCTTGGGAATATACCGAAGAGATGCCCTATCAACTACAAAAGCATTTGTTCAGCTATGTTCATAGCAGCATTATTTGTAAAAGCCAGAACCTGGAAACAGCCTAGGTGTCCCTCAATAGAAGAATGGTTAAAGAAGGTGTGGAACATATACACATTAGAGTTTTACTCAGCGGTAAAAAACAATGACATCTTGAATTTTGCATGCAAATGGATGGAAATAGAAAACACTTTACTGAGTAAGGTAACCCAGATCCAAAAAGAGGAATATGGTATGTACTACCTTAAGTGGATTCTAGCCATAATTAAAGGTCTTTGAACCTATAATTCATGATCCTAGAGAAGCTAAATAAGAAGGTGACCCTGAAGAAAATCATATAGTTATCCTCCTGGATATTGGAAGTAGACAAGATTGCCAGGCAAACTTGGGTGCACGGGGAGGGGTGGATGTAAGAGGAGATGGGTAGAGAGAAGGAAGAAGGGGAGGATTAGGGATAGCTTGGGGGAATGGGATGGGTGGGATGGAGGATGGGTGGATATGGGAGCAGGGAAGTAAATATCTCAATTAAGGGAGCCATTTTAAGGTTTGCAAGAGACTTGACTCTAGAGGGGTTCCCAGGTCCAAGAAGAGGTACCCAGATTGTTCCTTGGGCAGCAGAGGAGAGGGTGCCTGAACTGGCCTTGTCCCATAGCCCCACTGATGAATATCTTGCATATCACCATAGAACCATCAACTGGCAATGAATGGAGATAGAGACAAAGACCCACATTGGAGCACTGGACTTAGTTCCCAAGGTCCAAATGAGGAGCAGAAGGAGGGAGAACATGAGCAAGGAAGTCAGGACCACGAAGGGTGTGCCCACCCACTGAGATGTGGGACTGGTCTAATGGAAGCTCACCAAGGCCAACTGGACTGGGAGTGCTGGAGCATGTGATCAAAATGGACACTCTGAATGTGGCTGGCAATGAAGGTTGACTGAGAATCCAAGGATAATGGCACTGGGTTTTTATTCTACTGCATGGAGTGACTTTGTGGGACCGTGGTTTGTTTGGATGCTCACCTTTATAGACCTGGATATAGGGGGGAGGACCTTAGACTTCCACGGGGCAGGGAACCCTGACTGCTAGAGAGAGAGGGGTAGTTGGGGAGAGGGAGGGGAAAGGGAGGCAGGGAGGAGGTAGAAATTTTTAATAAATAAATAAATTAATTAATTTAAAAAAAGAAACTAAGATCACAGGCAGGAGCTAAGAATTCTGTACCTAGGACTTTTTGAAGTTTCTAGGGCACCCAAACTCAATGGGGATGCAGGTGGGTTTTTTTTTAATGACTCATTCATGGTATTAGCCTTAGACCCTCAGAAAACACAGATTTTTTACATTACTATTCATAACAGTAGCAATATTACAGGTATAATGTTGCAAAATTACAGCTATGAAGTAGCAATGAAAATAATTTTATGGTGGGGGTCACCACAACATGAGAAACTGGATTAAAGGGTTGCAGCAATAGGAAGGTTGAGAACCACTGCCCTAGGGTGTCCTGGATTATGAGGCATATTCTTTCTCCCTACCAGAGATTATTTCCCTCTTGCAAGAAGGTTACATCTTGACAGTTCTTCCTCAGGACACTTGTTAACTACTGTTAAACCCCGTAATGACCTAGATGTCCTTGTATATTAGAAGCTGAATGCAAAGTTTCCATCTTACTGTGCCTGTTGATTATGAGCCCTAAGCTAACTTGCCTTGTTTCCTAGCACCAGATAGACCTCTCTGAACAAATGTAGTAAGGTTTCAGAAGTTATCACTCAGTGCTGATTCTGCAGTCATAATCACCATGTGCCTCTGGGTGGCAGCTGAATCTAAACTATTTTGTTTTAGATCTTACGAGTTTTGGCCATTGTGAAGTAAGGACAGGATGGAGGCACCCCTTCTCTGATAGGAGAAAGCTGTGACTGCATTTTAATGTTAAGGTAAGGATCCTGAGGGGCATTGATCTAGCAGGAACTTTAGCTGAGGCTTCCTGACTTTGATGTCTTTGTTCAAAACTCCATCCTTAATGTCAGCTCTCCTTTATTGTAGATATCAATTGGAATAAAGCCAAGACCTCTGAATCTGATGTGTGTATGGACACTTTTGAGTGTGTGCATGCGTGCGTGTATTGGGACGTCCTGGGTGAAGTGAGTGAACACTGGAGCTGGTGCCCATCACAGATGACGGCACATTCATCTTTCTGACTTTTCTTTTTATTTTTTTTAAAAAAATGGTCTATTTAACTTTATTTTATGTGCATTGGTGTGAAGGTGTCAGATCCCCTGCAACTGGATCTTCAGACAGTTGTGAGCTGCCATGTGAGTGTTGGGAATTGAACCCGGGTCCTCTGGAAGAGCAGTCAGTGATCTTAATCACTGAACAATCTGTCCAGTCCCCATCTTTCTGACTTTTCAAACACACACTGAGGCTCCCCTGTTCTTGGGCATGCAATGTCCACCTGTGGGTGGAATGTGCTGTGGGTGTGTAGAGAGTGCTTGCATGAACGTCCCTTTGCATGCGTCATGCAGGGGAATGCTCAGGACTGTGAACTCAGGCAGTCTTGCTCATTGCGTCCAGGCAGTAGAATCGCTTTCTGGTTGCACATTTTATCCCATTTGGAATCCTGTGGTTAGAGGGCATGTCTTTGCCTGGGTACCCAGCATTCTGTTCTGTGCTCTCACTTTCCTTTGTTCTCAGCATGGCCAGCATGAGATTTTCTGTACTACTTGAACATTCTGAGTACGACAATTTGGGCTCATGTTCTTGCCCAACTCTCTCCTTGGTCAGGTACTGAATAACCAGTCTGACCTCTCCTGCAGTTTCTCAGAACCGGCCTGCTATAGCCTAGAAAAGTGGTAGGTTAGGAAAGAGGTCCTGGTTACACACAGTGGCTTCCAGAGAAGCCCATTCTAAGAAACAGAACATGGTATAGCAGGTAAATCTGTCCATGGCATCACAGATCCTGATCCTCGAGCAGTTTGACTATGGAAACATGGCAAACACTGTGTATGACACTGGGAACTTTATTGTCCACAAAGTGGAGAAACTTGTGTAGAGGACAGTCAGGTAGAGAGGGACTATGCAGGAGAGATGTAGACAAACTGACCAGGTAACAGTCATGTAAAGACTATGCCAGACTTCACAATGATGTTCAAGCCCTGAGTTTGGAGCCCATGAATGTTCCTCATAATTCAAAAGGGCTTAGTCTGTTGGACTGAGAAATATATTAAGCTGGTAAAATTGTTTTGGATTTTTTTTAGTGGGCTTGATGATGTCACAAAAATCTTTGCAAAAAGGAAAGAAATTAGAAGACAGTATTTTGGAGGATGCTGGCTTTAAAGCAGGGTGACAGTCCAGTGACATGGAATGGTAGTTTATACTGAAAGGGGGAGGAGACGGACTCTCCAGAGAACTCTCCAGAAGGTTGGTCTTATCAACAACTGGTTTCCTTTCAGTGACACCCATTTCAGACTTCTGAGATCCAGAACTGTAAGATAATGACATTCAGTTATTTCAGACCACCAAGGTTGTGATAGTTGGTTATTGGTGTAACGAAGAATCATGTAGGAAAAATAAGACAACAGAAAGGTAAAAGGCAGGAGAGGAGGCTGGAGGACAGAGAAGACTAGGTATCAGATGCGGGTAATAAGAGACAGAAAACAAATAGGGAATCTAGAAGAAGAGGGGTGGAGGCCAGGAGGCATGGGAGCAAAGAGGTGAGGAAAGATGAGCAGACAGAGAGCCAGATGGTGACAGGAACAGATGACATGAAGAGGGGATGTCAGGCAGCATGCTCATCGAGTCTGTCCTTGTCCCTACCAGAATCAGTGGATCTTCTTGAGATGCAGGTAGATCCCATTATGGATTTCAACACAGGTCGTATTAAGGGGATGGGCACCCTGGTGCGATCTGGCAGCAGCTCAAAGCGGAGTACGGTCAGGGCCACAACCACCTTCAGCTCATTCATAGCAAATTGTTTTCCAATGCAATTTCTGGGTCAGAAAGGGACAATAAAACTCAATGACTTCTGACCTGAGCAGAGAGGCCCCTGAAATAGCCCAGAACAGCATTCAGGGGCTATCTTCACAGATCCAGTCTAACCTCTGTCATTACAGGTCATGCCACTTCTTCCCCAGGCTGTGGCTCTCCTGACTTTTGATTCAGCCTCTGTGTATTTCAAGGCTACTTTGACCTTAGTTCTTTTACGGTTATGAAGTCTGTTAGGCCAGTATTCTAAGCATTAGAGCTCAAACTAGTGAATTATTTATAAAGTTAATCATTGCTTAGTTTATTCCATCCAGGTGGATCTCAGTCATGGCTTCCAAGGAGAGGAGTCAGATTTTAGTAGCAAAATTTCTAAGGAGGATTGTTTTGGGGATCTTCAATCGGCTGCTCCATCTGGTTCCTACTTAGTGTACCTCTGTCTCCTTAATCAGCATCTGTAGCCATCTAACTGTATTTCAGAAATGTCTCTTGTTCCTGCTTCAGTTTTCTCTCCTGGATTTCCCTGGTCTCCCTGACTCCACCCCCACAATGATTCTTTGTACCTCCATCAGATGCCTAGCTGCAGCCATACCCTTGACTGGCTGGTGCCTTCATCTCTTTTCTGCCCATCTAACTTAATTCAGATCAAGTTTTTGATGTCCTTGAAAATGACCTATTCCCAAAGGTCAGGAATGAGCAGCTGGCTCCCATTTCTTAACTGACTGTCCCTGTCCTTCTGGGGCACCCATGGCACCATCAGTGCTGTAGTCAAGAAGATGCCTCCTTCAGGGCATGGGCTGACGTCAGGCACATGGAACATTTTTAAACCTGCACATTGAATGAGTGAAAGAATGGAGGAAGAATATATTTTGACCACAGATATATTTTCTTTGTGGAATACAGCTTTGAGTTGGAGGCAAGGATAGTGTAGTATCATTTATTCCCATGTTTTTATCTATAATAGCACCTAACACACAGCAGTGTCTTAATAATTTACTTTTGATTCAAAATAATCATTTTTACTTGGTTCTAAAATGTAATTGATTTGAATTTATGGAATAAAAATGGGGTTAAATACAATAGAATTTTTTTTAAAAAAAAAACTTCTGAGCAAAGCAATGTGTGTGGGCCTGTACATGAATCTCAGAACTTGGGAAGTTGAGGCCGAGGGATTATGAACGCGAGGCAAGCCTGAGACTGTCTCAGAGAATGCCAACAACAGCATGCTTCATTCCAACTTAAGCTGAGTTACCCAAAACTCTGCTGTCTTCTAGTGTCAGTGACATAGTTTGCTGAATTAACAGGGGAACGTTCAATCCTGAATTGTACCAGATACTAGACAGCCTGTGTCTTGAAGAACAACTGGCTTGAGGAATTCATGAAGTATGGGCTCAGAAAAACCTGCTTCTGCACAATCCTTTAAATCCAACAGTGAGTTTGGTCCCACAGGAGCCTTGAGGATTTTCCTAGAAGCCCCTGGAAAGCCTTCAATAGCCATGTCAAGAGGATTTTATATTTCACTCATCATGAGCCTTAGTAAATGTGTATATACAACAGAGCATTTTCACAAAAAATATTTATTCTCCTCCTCTTTAACTCTTATTGTCTGTAGTAACTCTAAGTAATATACATTATCTGTCAAAATTTGGCCTTGGGCAATTACAAGAGGTATGTACACATTGGCACTGATTCTTCAATTGTGCTGAGAGATTGCACAGGTGGAGTCCATGCACTTGGAGTGAACCTTTTCTTACAAGACCCAGTGTGCCTAGGCAGTGGTGGTGCATGCCTTTAATCCCAGCACTCGGGAGGCAGAGACAGATGGGTCTCTGTGAGTTCGAGGCCAGCCTGGTCTACAAGAGCTAGTTCCAGGACAGGAACCAAAAGCTATGAAGAAACCCTGTCTCGAAAATCCCCCCCCAAAAAAAAAATAAGGAAGGAAGGAAGGAAGGAAGGAAGGAAGGAAGGAAGGAAGAAAGAAAGAAAGAAAGAAAGAAAGAAAGAAAGAAAGAAAGAAAGAAAGAAAGACACAGTATAATACCTCAAGTATCTGATCTGACTGGACAGTTGTCCATGACTGACACCCGAACAAACTTATCTCTTGCCTCAGTGAATCTAGAATTAGATAAGTGCCCAGGAAGGATAGTGGACCTGACTGAGGTGTGTAAAAAGGTATGGCACATAAGAGCACTGAAACTTGAAAAGCTGGACGCCAGAATTTACAATCATAGGGAAAAAATCAACCTACAGTCCAGCCCCTAATATATGAGAGCATGTGTAAGGTTGTGGCATTCACTGACATAGAAATCTGGCCAATGGGAGGAGCAATGGGTCAAGGTCTTCACAGTGTCTCCTGCAATGCTATCCTTCTTTTGTGCACAGACACATCCCCAAGAAGCTTTTCCCCCATACCCACCAATATAATATACCTGGAGATGTCATGTATGCATGAGGCGAAAAACATCAAGGTATGCTGGAAATATCCCCACAGTATACATCAATATACACAGGATGTCTCACCTTGCTCCTCCTGAGAAGGGCAGGAATGAATGGCTATGTCAGGGAGAATCTGGTGCAAACCTGGAAGGGCCAAACACCTGCAGGGACATGACACCTTTGTCAGGACAGGCAGAAGTTAAACTGCTGCTTTCAACCCACGGGGGGACAAGATGATAGAGGTGGGGACAACAGGTTTTGGTCTGGAGGGATCTCCCCCTGCCCACCTGTGGAGCCTCCTACCTCTGGGTTTGTGGTGTAGGAGTTCCTTCTGTTTATGTGTTGCTTTCATTGGTTGAATAAAGAAACTGCCTTGGCCTTTTGATAGGGCAGAACTTAGGTAGGCAGAGTAGACAGAGCTGAATGCTGGGAGGAAGAAGGGCAGAGAGAGAGAGAGAGCCGCCATGGAGATGCTAGGTCAGACATGCCAAATCTTTCCCGGTAAGCCACAGGAAAGATGGCTCCTGGTGATATACAGATTATTAGAAATGGGTTAAATCAAGATGAGAGAGTTAGCCAATAGGAGGCTAGAGCTAATGGGCCAAGCAGTGATCTAATTAATACAGTTTCTGTGTGGTTATTTCAGGTGTAAGTAGCTGGGCGGCTGGGACAAAAAGCAGGTCCTCTCTTCTACAGCAGGCTTGGCCACACCTTCGGGTTGTGGTGGAGTACATAAATGGAGAGTGTGACTGAGATACCTGTGGAGCAGAAAGGAATAGGGGAGATGGTGGGTTATACCCAGGATGTGAACCTTGGTTCCTGAGGCAGTAGAGGACATGCCTGCACAAAAGGTCTTGCTAATAAACATCATCACTATGGGTAGATGTGGGTGACTTGAGGGACAAATGAGGAGTATAAAAATGATAAAGAAAGAGAAGCAAGAAAAAGAGGAACCTGAATTTTTTAATTGAATCAACTTATAGGTTAAATTTAATGAAGAATTTCCACTAAAGGTGTACAAAAATTCTGTCCCTTTAATGACATCTTGGTATTTGCAGCCAAATGAATAGGACTAGCAAAAACCATATCGAGTGAGGTAACCCAGATCAAGAAAAACAAATACAATATGTATTGACTCATAAGTGGCTTTTAGACATGAAGCAAAGAAAAAACATTCTACATACTATAACCATAGAGAACCTAGAAAACAAAGAGGACCTTAAGAGACACATATATGGTTCTATATAGGAAAAAGGAAAAGACCGGTTCTCCTGAGTAAATTGTGAGCATGTGGATCATGGAGGAGATTTGAGGGAAAAAAGGGGGAAGGGAGTGGAGTGGAAAAAAGTGTATAGCTCAATAAAAACAATAAAAACTGCAAAAAAAAGTCCCAACGTGTTCCCCCAGTTGTTTTAGTCTGGTTTTTCAGATGAGTTAATGCGTTTCAGAAAAGGGTTACAGATCATCACCGAAGTAGTACCTAGCAAAGTAGAATTTATTATTGAGTTTATTTTGCTCTAAGGTTTTCTCTGCTCCCCTCCCTGCCCCTCACCTCCTGTTCAACCCTCTCTCAATTTACTCAGGAGTTCTTGTCTTTTTCTACTTCCCATATAGATTAGATCCACGTATGTATCTCTTAGGATCCTCATTGTTGTCTAGGTTCTCTGGGATTGTGATTTTGTGGGCTGGTTTTCTTTGCTTTATATTTAAGAACTACTTATAAGTGATATGAGTACATGTGATAATTGTCTTTCTGGGTCTGGGTTACTTTGTTAAAAATGGTGTTTTCTAGCTCCATTCATTTTCCTGCAAAATTCAAGACGTCATTATTTTTTTTTCTGCTGTGTAGTACTTTATTGTGTAAATGTACCACATTTTTTAAAATCCATTCTTTGGTTTATGGGCATTTAGGTTGTTTCCCAGTTCTGACTATGACAAACAATGCTGCTATGAACATAGTTGAGCACATGTCCTTGTGGCACGATTGAGCATCCTTTAGATATATACCCTAAAGTGGTATTGATGGAGCTTCAGGAAGGTTGTTTCCTAATTTTCTGAGAAATTGCCACACTGACATTCAAAGGGGTTGTACTAGCTTGCATTCCCACCAGCAATGCAGAAGTGTTCCCTTTACCCCACAACCTCTCAAGCATAAGTTGTCATCAGTGTTTTTGATCTTGGCCATTCTTACAGGTATAAGATGGAATCTCAGAGTTGTTTTGATTTGCATTTCTCTGATGACTAAGGATGTTGAACATTTCCTAAAGTGTCTTTCAGCAATTTTAGATTCTTCTGTTGAGAGTTCTCTGTTTAGGTCTGTACTCCAGTTTTTTTATTGGATTATATGATCTTTTGGTGTTCAATTTTTGAGATCTTTGTATATTTTGGAGATCAGACCTCTGTCTGATGTGGGGTTAGTGAAGATCTTTTCCCATTCTGTAGGCTGTTATTTAGCCTTGTTGACCATGTCCTTTGCTTTACAGAAGCTTCAGTTTCAGGAGGTCCCATTTTTAATTGTTTTTCTCAGTGTCTGTGCTGCTAGGATTATATTTAGGAAATGGTCTCCTGTGCCAATGTGTTCAAGTGTACTTCCCACTTTTTCTTCTGTGAGGTTCAGTGTGGCTGGCTTTATATTGAGATCTTTGATCCATTTGGACCTGAGTTTTGTGCATGGGGATAGATATGGATCTATTTTCATTCTTCTACAGGTTGATAATTCAGTTATGCCAACACCATTTGTTGAAGATGTTTTCTTTTTTCCATTGTATATTTTTAGCTCCTTTGTGGAAAATCAGGTGTTCATAGGTTTGTGGGTTAATATCCGGGTCTTCAATTCGATTCCATAGGTCAACGTCTCTATTTTGATGCCAATACCAAGCTGTTTTCATTACTGTAGTTCTGTAATAGTTTGAAGTCAGGGATGGTAATGCCTCTGGAAGTTCCTTTATTGTATAAGATTGTTTTGGCTATCCTGAGTTTTTGGTTTTCCATATAAAGTTGATTATTGTTCTCTCAAGTTCTGTGAAGAATTTTGTTGGGATTGCATTGAATTTATAGATTGCCATTGGTAGCACTGCCATTTTTACTATGTTAATCCTACCCATCCAAGAGCATGGGAGATGCTTCCATTTTCTGGTGTCCTCTTCAATTTCTTACTTCAAAGCCTTAATGTTCTTGTCAAATAGATCTTTCACTTCCTTGGTTAGTGTAACCCCAAGATACTTTATGCTATTTGTGGCTATCATGAAAGGTGAAGTTTCTCTGATTTTCCTCTCTGCTTCTCTATCCTTTGTGTATAGAAGAGCTACTGATTTTCTTTGAGTTCATCTTGTATCCTGCCACATCACTGAAGGTATTTATCAGCTGTAGGAGTTCTTTGGAAGAGTTTTTGGGGTCAGTGATGTACATAATCATATTATCTGCAAATAACGAAAGTTTGACTTCTTCCTTTCCAATTTGAATCCCCTTGATCTCCTTATGTTGTCTTATTGCTATTGCTAGAACTTCAAGCACTATGTTGAAGAGATATGGTGAGAGTGGACAGCCTTGTTTGGTTCCCGATTTTAGTGGAATGACTTTGAGTTTCTCTACATTTAATTTAATATTAGCTGTTGGTTTGCTGTATATTGCTTTTATTATATTAACATATGATCCTTGAATCCCTAACCTCTCCAAGACCTTTATCATAAAGGGGTGTTGAATTTTGTCAAATGCTTTTTTTCATTTTTTTAAATTTATTTATTTATTTGTTTATAAAAATTTCCACTGCCTCCCCTCCTCCCCATACCCTCCCATTCCCCCCATTTCCTCTCCTCCCCCCCACTCCCTCTCCTCCTCCCTTTGCAGTCCTAAGAGCAGTCAGGGTTTCCTGCCCTGTGGGAAGTTCAAGTTCCTCCCCTCTCCCTCCAGGTCTCACCAAGGCCAGCTGGCCTGGGACTGAATGAGCATGTGATCAAATAGGAGTCTCTGAATGTGGCTGGCATGGGGGCTGACTGAGAAACCATTGACAAAGGCACTGGGTCTTGTTTTGTCTGCATGTACTGGCATTTTGGGATCCTAGTCTGTTTGTCAAATGCTTTTTCAGCATCTAATGAAATGATCTTATGATTTTTTTCCTTCAGTTTATTTATATGATGGATTACATTGATAGATTTTCATATGTTGAACCAGCCCTGCATCTCTGGGATGAAGCCTACTTGATCATAATGGATTATTTTTTGATGTGTTCTTGGTTTGGTTTGCCAGTATTTTATTGAGAATTTTTGCATTGATATTCATGAGCGAAATTGATCTGTAATTCTCTTTCTTGATTGAGTCTTTGTGTGGTTTTGCTATCAGGGTAACTGTAGCTTCATAAAAAGAGTTTGGCAAAGACTCTTCTGATTCTATTATGTGACACACCTTAAGGAGTATAGGTATCAGCTCTTCTTGGAATTTCTGGTAAAACTCTGCATTAAAACCATCTGGTCCTGGGCTCTTTTTGGTTGGGAGGTTTTTTATGGCAGCTTCTATTTCCTCACGACATATAGGTCAATTTAAATTGTTCACCTGGTCTTGATTTAATTGTGGTATATGGTATTTATCTAAAAACAAGTCCATTTCTTTTACATTTTCCAACTTTGTGGCATATAGGCCTTTGTAGTAAGACCTAATGATTCTCTGAATTTCCTCAGTATCTGTTGTTATGTCCCCTTTTTCATTTCTGATCTTGTTAATTTGCACGTTCTCTCTCTTCCTTTTGATTAGTTTGGATAGGGGCTTGTCAATCTTGTTGATTTTCTCAAAGAACCAGCTCTTTGTTTCATTGATTCTTTGAGTTGTTTTCTGTGTTTCTATTTTGTTGATTTCAGCCCTCAGTTTGATTATTTCCAGTCTTCTACTCCTCCTGGGTGAGTCTGCTTCTTTTCTTTCTAGATATTTCAGCTGTGCTGTTAAGTCTCTAATGTGAGCTTTCTCCATTTTCTTTATGTGAGCACTTAGTGCTATGAACTTTCCTCTTAGCACTGCTTTCATAGTGTCCCATAGGTTTGGGTATGTTGTGTCTTTATTTTCGTTAAATTCAAGGAAAACTTTAATTTCTTTCTTTATTTCTTCCCTGACCCAGGGGTGGTTCAGTAGTTGACTGTTCAGTTTTCATGAGTTTGTAGGCTTTCTG